AGTAAGTCACAAAGTACAAAGATCTTGCAAATAGAAATAGAGCCACTGTGCCAAAAGGAAGCAATATTAGTCCTCCTAATATTAATAGGCACCATGGGTGTGGTCCCATAATGTCTGAAGTACCATTTGAAGATCATCGGCGTTGACAATTTCACCATCAGTCAATTGCAAAAGGTGGCTTGACTTGGTATGGCTTACATCCTGCAATACCTTTAACCCTGCCAAACAACAACATCTGCCTATTCCGGGTAATTAGGAAGGGCCTGATAGGGGGATAAAAATGTGTGGCACGACAAAACCGTGCTCGACTAAAGCGCGCCCGATTAAACCGCGTCGCTGANGATAGATAGATAGATAGATAGATAGATAGATAGATAGATAGATAGATAGATAGATAGATAGATAGATAGATAGATATTGTTGTTTTGCCAAGGGTGTTAAAAGCAAATCGCTGCAGTTGTTAAATGAAACACATTGTTGTTAAGCAAATCATCAGTAAGTGAGATTAAACATCCTAGGGAATAATCATGTGTCTATCATCTGACAGCAATGAAAAATAAAATTAAAATTAATAACATATAAAAGTATTAATAAATAATTAAATAAAATTGGATGAAAATTCAAACATGGTTAGAGAAAATGTTAAAGTAACTTATAGATTTAAAGCCAGAAATATTTTTGTTAGGTATGCTACCAGAAAAATATGACAAAGGGAATATACGTATATTTAATATTGCAAGTGTTGACAGCAGCGAGAATCGTATTTGCACAGCACTGGAAGAATGAGGAAATTCCTACAGATGAAAATACAATTTTAAAAAATCTTAGAATGTGCAGAAATGGATAGGTTAACACTAAAGATAAAAGACAAAGAAGATACAGACTATTTTTTAACATGTGATTTGTTCTATCAATGGTTAGATAATAGTGTTAGAACTTAGAAGTTAAAAGATTATTGATATGTATAAATAAATAATAATATCAATACTACAATTACTATGGATAAGTAAATTGACCCGATACCCGTGCTTCACGATGAAACTATGTGATCAGTCAATACAGGAGAAATCTGGTTCAATCCATTGACTAAGTGGTGCTCAGTGATTGAAACACATAAGGGAATATCATTCTCACCGCCTTGAATCCGGAAGCAGTTCCATAGGTGGAACTGCAATGATCTTAGTTTACTTAATGTTGAGTTTCAAGCCAACTTTTGCACTCTCCTTCTTCACCTGCATCAAATGGCTCTTTACTTCCTCTTCACTTTCTGCCATTACCATTTACAAAACCATTTATAATACCCCAAGTCTCCTTTGGCCACATGTCACATATCTATTCTGTGATTGTGTTGTTGGAAGAAACGTCCATTTGGGTTCAATTCCAAGTGGGGAGAAAAACACTGGAAACAATGGTGGCTTTTTGGAAAGATGGTTCAATGGTGGACAAGACTACATGGTTTGAGGTCCTGGGCAAAAAGGCACATGGGTGAGAGAGATATATAGATTTATACCCTCTGTTGGGCTTTGAATTTGAGCTTGTATTCTGAAATATTCTGCCCTTTTAATATTTCCTAAAATATTTCATTTTTCTAGGAGAGGGGTGAGTGCTAACTTCCTACAGTGTTCAGAACTCTAAAACAAGTGCCACATTTATAGTATGGTACCAAGTGGAAATTTAAAAAAAATTACCCAGTGATGAAAGAGGGCAAGGACAGGCAAGTCTCAAAATGCCAGCCAAATATTATGGGAGTTAACGTGTAATCCACTTTGATCACTGATTCTGCAAGCCAAGCAAGTATCTGGGAGAATGCACTCCATATATTAAATAATCAAAGGAACATGATACATATGTGTGAATGAGAGGGAGAGAGAAACAGAATCAGAGAGAGAGAGAATCAGAAAGAGAGAGTGGGGTGGGGACAGCTGTTACAGTATTGGTTGATATTTCATCCATGACCAATATCCAGTCATTGATTCTTTTCTCCATCTGTCAATTATCTCTCTATTTCTCCCCTTTGTGAGAACTCTCTACTCAGAAGAAAATATTTATAGCTCAGGGTTGAACTATGGAGTCCTTGGTGTTCTTTGAGCTTGGAGGTTTTCTTACAGACATTTCATTTCCAAACTAGGGAACATCATCAATTTAGATGTTTCATTACCAAAGTAGGTATCATCAGTGTAGCACTGATGATGTTCCCTACTTTGGCAATGAAACGTCTGCAAAAAAACCTCCAAACTCAGCACCAAGGACCCCATATCTCTCTACTCCTTGTAGACAGTAAGGGAGATGATCTTGACAGAAATACAGAAATGTATGCAGGAACCATTCCCCGGACAAAGAGAGCTGAAACGTTCTTTAAGAGCAGGAAGCAAGATGATGTTTGGGGATCCCAAAGGACCTTTTTCAAAAGGCAACTGGACTTTGCTTTTCCTTGAAGATGTTTCGTTTCTCATCTAAGAAGCTTCTTCAGTTCCTAAGAAGTTTCTTGGGTGAGAAGCAAAACATCTTCAAGGAAAAACAAAGTCCAGTTGCCTTTTGAAAAAAACACCTTTGGGACAACTATGATTTGGATGACTGAGAGTCTCAATAATCAGAATAGAGCTGAAAGGGACCTTGGAGGTCTTCTAGTCCAACCCCATGCTCAAGCAGGAAACCCTATACCATTTCAGGTGGATAGCTGTTTTTCTTAAAAAGCTCCAGTGATGAAGCAGCCAAATTTCTGGAGGCAAGCTGTTCCACTGGTTCATTGTCCTCACTGTTAGGAAATTTCTCCTTAATTCCAAGTTGTTTTTCTCCTTGCTGAGTTTCCATCCATTGTTTCGTCTCTTGCCTTCTCTGGTGTTTTGGAAAATAAATTGACCCCCACTCTTCTTTGAGGCAGCCTCTCAAATATTGGAATATTGCTATCATGTCACCTCTAAACTTATTTTCTCTAGATTGGCCATACCCAATTCCTGCAACTGTTCTATACATCGGTTCACCGACAAATGCGCGACCGACAAAAGCGCACCATCAAAAACAACGCAAAAGCAATGGTAACAACGTTAACAACCCTATCCCTTACCCTAACCCTAACCCTAACCTAAAAACCCTAATCGCGCTTTTGTGGGCGCGATTTTGTCGGCACGCTTTAGTGGGCGCGCTTTCAACGTCGCCGTTTTGTCGCGCTGGTTTTGTCGGCGTGCATTTGTCGGGCGCGCATTTGTCTGGTCACGCTATCTCTCTCTCTCTCTCTCTCTCTCTCTCTCTCTCTCTCTCTCTCTCTTATTCCTTTCTTCCC